AAAAAAAAAAAAACAATCTAGCTAGGCAGGGAGGCACCAAGGCGAGTAGGCTTTCATAAAAATTCTCGTAGAATCGAGAATGAAGTTTTCATTATGTACATGCCAAATCATGAATTAGTAATCGCATCCAATCTTCAAAAAAAAATCCCAATTGTTTCGAACTTTCTCTCGTTTTTTTGGAATGGAATATTTACTGAATCCCCATAAATAGCCAAATAGGATCAAACCTTATTCCATATTTCCATGGTATTTACCTCTTTCTTATTCTTAATTAAGTCTCCGAGAGGGCTTAATTGATCCATGATTTATGTTTCATCTTTCGTTTTCTTTTCATTTGTTTCGAGAAATATAGCGATCCTTGCCTCTTTGGATCGTTGAGAACGGTCCTACTTTTCTAGTTTGTACAAGTCTTTTTATTTTACTCATTACTATTATTCCAAATACAACATGCCAACATGGTATGGGATTATTTGGACTACAAGAGCAAACCATATTACGGAGCAAGATTTGGTAAGTAATGGTCAACAAATTGGAATTCATTTATCAACGGATTTTTTTCTTCCATTTGAATTCATTTCAATAATTTCAAGGACTTATGTAAAGTTGTATAACTTGTATTTGCTAGAATATATACAAGTGAGCAAGAATGATGAGGCCTATCGCCTACCGGCTGCCGGCGGTTGGCCAACCGCGCAGGCCTACCGCTCGTCGACGGTTGGCCTACTAGCCGTCGGCAGTTGTATATATTCTAGCAACCCATGAAAAGAATGCTTTTCGTGATTCTTCCGTTGCGGGATCATGTTATTCCGTGAACAAAATTACGAGCATTTAAATCTATGATCTTTACACACAATACATTCTTTAGTATTTATGCTTACGAAGTCGAACATATGGTTTGAAGACCAAGGCTTCATTGAAGTTGTTGAATCACCTGGAGACGAGACATGAATTTTATGCATACAGTTTCGTAGAGTTTGACAAAAAAAAATATTTGTCGGTTTCATTATTTGTCCGAGTCCTTATCTAGTTGAACTCGTTTTCGGCATTGCTTATGCTAGTTAAAAAAAGAGTACAATTTCAAAATTAATGCTCTTGATTATTTATGGTCGGGTAATTCATAAAACAGATTGATAAGAACCTTGAAAAGAATGATGCAAGCTTAGGGCACAATTCGAGTTCCACCCTTTTCGACCATAAAATTGAATAGCTTATGGATATATCAATCGGATTCGATGCTCGAAAAACGAGTGAGCTAGATAATAAATCTTGAGAAATTTTGGAATAAACGAAATTATATATATATATATATATAGCACTAGAACTAAAAATCTTATGGTTAAGAAAAAAGTTTGATAACATCTATGAGAGTCGCATCCGTACTCATTCTCGCATAAGGAGAGATTGGCAATATTTGCTTTGCATTTGAAAGAGCCTCGGCTTTTTTATAATTACCAAATATTAAAGTTGCAGAGGAAGTAGGAGCAAAAGCAAAGAAAGAAGTAAAGAAGAATAGGGAAGGAGTGAAAAGCGGAGGTGGAGAAAGAGTGAGAATGGTTTCTCAAGTAACCATTACCAAAGATTAATTTTGAGGGTCCATTACCACTTTTTCATTCTAATCTAACAGACTTTAGATCTATCCAATAATAAACTCTCCGGATCCATTTCTTTTATATTTGCACTTGCAACAAATGATTGTTTTGAATCTAGGCAACAAAAATTTGTCGGGTGAAATTCCAAACTCAATAAGATCATTATTGTTGCTTCAAACTCGTAAGTAAAAAGAACTTTTTGAGAGAATTGCCGACTTTTTAAGGAGTTGTAGCTCATTGATGTTTCTTGACTTGAGTGAGAATAGATTATATTGAGAAATACCGAACTTGGATCAAAATCCAAGCATTACAAATCCAAAAACAACAACCTCAATAAGCAACACAAAACCAAAAACAAAAATGTATCAATGACTCTAGCTTTCACATATTTTCGCCCCAAATGAAAAACAGGAACAACCATATGGTCTATATCATCTACAATTCATGAAAATAAACGAACCCAAAAGATCACATTAATCTCATGACTAGCATGGTTAAGACAAGATAATTATAAAAGAAAACAAATATATAATGCAACAAATTATCAAACCGACCTATCCTTTTAATGTTGAAAATAAGATTTGCTTGTTTTCTTGATTGGTGACACAGAGAAAGAGTGATAAATATGGTTTGAGGCGATGGCGAGAGAGGCAATGGCAGCGGCAGCGACAACGAATAGCAGCAGACGAGGGACTTCAGGCGAATCGAGCCTATGCAGGTGGCGGCGGTAGCGACAGCGACAACGGCAGCGAGGCAACGGCCAACAAGGGAGCGATAGCGACTCGACGATTCGAGCAAGGCAACACCGCAACGAGCCAACGGTAGTCGGGCAGACGAGGCGGCGGCGACCGACAGAGAGGGACTTAGGGAATAGGGAGTTAGGGTTAGGGATTTATCGATTTTAGTTATTTGGAATTGGAATTTGGAAATGAGAAGAGAAATGGACAAATCGGTGAAATCACAAATGGTAAAAAACTCGAAATGTAATCGTAAATTTTGGTTTTCGGGTTGAACCGAAATTTTTTTTAAAACACCGAACCGAATCGAAATAAATTTCGATTTTTCGGTTCGATTATAAATAGTAAATTTTAAATTCAAAACCGAATCAAATATCTTAATACGGTTCGGTTTGATTCGGTTTTCGGTTAACCGAACCGTTTGCACACCCCTACCGACTAGTATTAAAGGAACTAGAAACCTAAAATTGACATTGGTTTATATATATTAGAATAAGGAGTTGGTTATACTTTTAGGAAGATATCAATCACCCAAAAATACCTTTTCCGAGAAAAGGTACTACCTCTAGTTTAATCCTTAAAGTTTATCTCCCGAAATTTTTTATTTTTTGCCAAAATTAATTCGAATTCAAAATTCTAAGTTTCATTTCCTCGCCTAAACTATTTTTTATTTATTTATTTGTGGCATCATATTGAATTCATCATCAAACCTAGCCATCGAGAGTTTCGTCAATTCAACATCGGATTCAATTTAATTCTCGACATAACCGGTATGTTGAAAAACAACCTAATTAATAAAATGTGATTAATTTTAAATTAACGTTAGTTTCTATTGATAAGAGACTCGTTAAAATTGCTTAAAACATTTTCTTTCTTTTGTATTCCTTTCATGTTTTATTTTCAGCTATACAAGGAAAACATTATCAAAATTACTTTTTGTTTGTTTTTTTATGACATCGTATTGAAGTAATATCGGACTCCACAATTTGAGAGTCTTATCAATTTAGCATTGGATCCGAACTAAAGTTGTGAAATGATTAGCATGTCGAGGAAACACTTAATTAAATAAAAGTATTTGCATGAAATATTGAAAAAATTGACCGAAATTGATTTTTTTCTTGAGCATTTTTATTGATGGATAAAACATATGGAAACCATCATCCGTCCCTAATAAATACGAGACTCGTTAGTCCAATATCGCAACAGAATCAACTTCATACATTTAAATAAATTTTAAAACCTAAATATTTCTAAGATTTCTAATACAAATAAATTTAACATTATTATAAAACAACATCATAAAGTAATTAAAAAATAAATAGGTAATAGAAATAAACTAAATGGTCACTAGAGAGTGACCAAAATGCCTATGTGATGTTGTTAGAAAATAACCAAAATGCCCTTATAGGAAAAATTACCAAATTGCGCTTAGCACGTGTGTTGCATGTAAGAGAGGAACATCAAGTCTTAATGCAGGTTGTGGAAACTCTTATATTTTGTTTTCATTAACGAGATCAGACATGATGACTTTCATGTAGTAATGGCATTGATAAAGTGAAAAATGGATGGAGAACGAGAAACCAAGAATCCAAATATATATATATGTGGTAAATACATGTGAATTTTATTTTGACAATTAAAATTAACATATTTAGCAAGTTGAAATATATTATAAATAAATAAATGTACTATTTTCATAATTTTTTATTGATTGATTTTTAAATGAATATTTTGTTTTGTATTCTCAGTATTTAAGCTTTTTATTAGTTGAATTTTTTTAAAAAAATTAAAATGAATTTAACTTTGTATTTTTCTTTTATTGACTTATATTCACCATCTTCAATTTCTTTCTTTTTTTTTTTTCAACAAAAGCATCAGTTTCTAATCAAAATTTGCTATCTTACCTGTTTTTTTTTTCTTCAATATATAGAATTGATAAAGAACCAAATTGCAAGAGAATGTTAAAACATTAGCATTAAATATATAGTTCATGCAACTACAAGGACTAGTTTATTAATTTGATTAAACTAAAAGATGTCATTTGTAATTAAGAGTAAATTATAAATTAGTCCCTTTAATTTGAGAAACAATTAATCACCCTCTCTTATTTCAAAAACTAATAATTTAATTTCTATATTTTTAAATTTATTTATAATTTTTTTTATTTTTGGCTTAAAAAACAGAGAAATATAAAAATATAAAATATAAAAAAGTTAATGGAAAAAGATAATTTTTTTAGAAATAATGTAATGTTAAATTAAAATAAAAGAATTAGTTTTTAAAATAAAAAAGATTAATTAATTTGTTTATCTAAATTAGAGGAGCTAGTTAATTTTTACTCAAATTAATAACATAATAAATTTTTTATATATAAATTAATGAATAATCTATATAAAAAGATTGATGAGAAAAAATAATATAATATTAAATTAAGATTAAGTAATTAAATAATTAGTTTTTAACATAAAGTGACTAATTAATTCGTTTATCTAAACTAGAGGAACTAGTTCATAACTTACTCTTGTAATTAACTCCTTTTACTTTGCTTTGGATAGTGTTTCGCTTCCCTTCAATCTTGATACTTTAGTTGGAACTTGAAACAGAGCTTATACTGCAAACGATGATGGTATAGTTATAGTTATTTACTAGAAAGGCAATCACAACATACGCAATCATGCCCTGTTTTATGTCTTGTTCACCAGCCAAATCAATCTCCAAAATCCCACTTCAGTTATCAAAATTTAGACCCTCTTCCCACATGTCCTCCTCTGATTATACCAAAAGAAGTTTCACATATGATCACAGAAAACCTGCTGTCACCCACCCACAAGCCCCAGGTACCCTCCTTTCTTCTCTCCCTCCATCTCTTTCTCTCTCTCCCTCTCTCGCTTTGTTTATGTTGTTATATGCTGTGTGTGTTGTTGTCTCATTCAAAGTTTGGATTTTTGGAACTGCAGAAATGGAAAAGAGCATATTCTTAATGCTGACCATAGACCGTTGGGAATCACTAAACCACATGGGATACAGGTTAACTTCACTGAGGCCAGTCCATGGGAGGCTAGCTTTGAAATTCCTCAACTGGGTCATCAAGCAACCTGGTTTGGAACTCAATCACCTTACTCATATACTCTCCATCACTACTCATATACTTGTTGGGGCTAGAATGTATGAACCTGCTAAGTCAATTTTAAGGCATCTTTCTATGATGGGTGTTGGTTCAAAATCTGTTTTTGATGCTTTAATGAACACATACCCACTTTGCAACTCCAACCCTTCAGTTTTTGACCTTTTGATTAGGGTTTATTTGAGAGAAGGAATGGTTATTGATGCTTTGGAGACTTTTTATTTGATGGGTTCTATAAGGTTTAACCCTTCTGTTTATACATGTAATATGGTGCTTGGTTCAATGGTAAAGAAACGGATGGTTGGGTCGGTTTGGTCTTTTTTTAAGGAAATGCTAGCTATGAGGATTTGTCCTAATGTTGCTACTTTTAATATATTGATTAATGTTTTGTGTGCGGAAGGGAAGCTTAAGAAAGCCGGTTATCTTTTAAGAAAGATGGAGGGGAGTGGTTATGTTCCAACTATAGTTACTTATAATTCTATTCTCAACTGGTATTGCAAGAAGGGGCGCTATAAAGCAGCCTCTGATTTGATTGATGGAATGGAATCTAAAGGTATCGAAGCAGATGTATGCACATATAATATGCTTATTAATGATTTGTGTAAAAACAACAGAAGTGCAAAAGGGTATTTACTGTTGAGAAAGATGAGAAAGAGGATGATAGCTCCTAATGAAGTCACTTATAATACTCTAATTAATGGACTCATGAAAGAGGGAAAGATTGGAGGTGCTACTCGAGTTTTTAATGAGATGTTGATGCTTAACCTTTCACCAAACCGTGTTACTTACAATTCTTTGATTAATGGGTATTGTGATTCTGGTAATTTTGAAGAAGCTTTAAGGCATTTGGATGTGATGGAAGCAAAGGGACTAAGGCCTGATGAAGTTAGTTATGGGGCTCTTTTAAATGGGTTGTACAAGCTTGGGAAATTTGACCTTGCCAAAAGCCTTATGGAGAGAATGAGAATGAGTGGGGTGGTTGTTGGTTATAGAGCATACACAGCCATGATTGATGGATTATGCAAACATGGATTGCTTGACGAGTCTTTGCAATTGCTGGATGTGATGTTCAAGGATGGTGCAAGTCCGGATATTATCACATTTTCTGTTCTCATAAATGGATTTTGCAAATCAGGAAAAATAAAAAATGCAAAGGAAGTGATATGTAAAATGTTTAAAGTTGGACTTGCACCTAACTATGTCATATATGCTACTTTAATTTACAATTCCTGCAAAAAGGGTGATATTACAGAAGCATTCAAGATATATGCAACAATGAATCGCAGTGGCCATGATGTGGACCATTTCATCTGTAATGTGTTGGTTTCTTCTCTTTGTATAGCTGGAAGGCTAGCAGAGGCAGAGGATTTTATGCGTCATATGAGCACCATTGATCTTGCTCCTAACTCCGTCACTTTTGACTGTATTATAAATGGATGTGGCATTTTAGGTGATGTCTTGAAAGCTTTCTCTGTGTTTGATGAGATGATTAAATTAGGTCATCATCCTAGTCATTTCACATACGGTAGTCTACTTAAAGGACTATGCAAGAGTGGAAATTTGGGGGAGGCAAAGAAATTTCTGTATAAACTCCACCACATTCCTGCTGCTGTTGATACTAATATCTATAATACAATTCTAACGGAGATATGTAAACTGGGGAGGTTGTCAGATGCAGTGGCCCTTTTTGGTGAAATGGTCCAATTTAATGTGCTGCCTGATAGTCATACATATGCTATCATTCTTTCTGGGTTAAGTAGGAAAGGCAAAATGGTTCCTGCTCTTCTTTTCTTTGAAAAAGCACTGGCAAGAGGAACACTGTCCCCAAATAAGGTCATGTACACTAGCCTGGTTGATGGTCTGTTCAAGGTTGGTCAATCAAATACTGCTTTATATATTTATGAAGAGATGGAGCAAAACGACATATACCCAGATATAATTGCAATTAATGCAGTTCTAGATGGATACTCAAGGATGGGGAAAATGGAAAAGGTTGATAAGCTCTTCATGAAGAGTAGTAGTCTGAACCCAAGTTTGGCTACATATAATATTCTCTTGCATGGGTATTCAAAGAAAAAGGATTTGTTGAAATGCTCTAAATTCTACAATATCATGACAAGGATGGGTATTTTGCCTGATAAAATAACTTGCCATTCTATCATTCTTGGGCTTTGTAAGTCTGGTATGCTTGACGTCAGTTTTAAAATGTTAAAGAAGATGATAATGGAAGATACTTCAGTTGATCAATTTACACTTAACATGCTCATCATGAATTCATGTGAAACTGATGATATGAGAAAGGCATTTGATCTGCTGAATATTATGAATTTACTTGGAGTTATTCCTGATATAAACACTTACAATGCCATCTTTACTGGACTCAACAGAGCCTCTGCTCTTCGACAATCCCATCTTCTTCTGCACGACATGTTGGAGAGGGGTATTACTCCTGCATGCACACAGTATATTTCTTTAATTAATGGTATGTGCAGAATAGGGAATATACAAGGAGCATTCAGGCTAAGAGATGAAATGGAAGCAGTTGGTGTCAGTTCCCGGGATGTTGCTGAGAGTGCTATGGTAAGAGGGCTCGCCCAGTGTGGAAAGGTTGAAGAAGCCATGCTGGTTCTTGATTGCATGCTTCGGATGCGGCTCATTCCAACCATCGCTACTTTTACAACACTGATGCACGCCCTCTGCAAGAAAGCTAAACTGTCTGAGGCTTTAAAGTTGAGGGGTATAATGGAGCTTCATGGTGTGGAACTTGATGTTGTTGCATACAATGTTCTCATATCAGGCCTTTGTGCTGATGGCGATGTTTCAGCTGCGTTTAAACTGTATGAAGAGATGAAAGAAAGGGGCCTCTGGCCCAACACCACAACCTATTGCACTCTCATTGATGCTATTCCCACCGATGAGGTTAGTCTCGTAAAGAGTGAAATCCTTTTGGAGAATTTGCAGGAGAGAGGAATGATATCCTGGGATTGGAATGGAAGCACAGATGAGGGTTTGATAACTGCCATGGAAAATTTGAAGTCCTTGAGGCACAACAGAAGGAAATGATGCAAAAATCTAGCAGGGTAACAATGTAATGGGATTGGGAAACAAAGATAGAAGCCACTCTACAGAAAGCATAGGAGGCTGGGGGAACCTCCATTATCTATTAGTTGTGCCACTCGTTATTGGTTTGTCTTTTCCTCTTGTACACTTCAGTATCTTTTTTTTTTTTTTAATTGCCTATATAATCAACTAGTTTTCTGCCTTTTCAGGAGAGATACTTTCCTCATGCTTATATATAATGGCAGTCACAGGAAAAGCTTTCAAGACAAGCTCTTAAACTATGCCTTGGCGTTTGGAATGGGGTGCCTTTTAGAGACTGGGGGCATTGGTCACAATGTTTGAGGCTTTGAGCAATGTCAACTTGAATATAGGTGCTATGCAAGCCCATTCTTTATTCATGATAGTGCTTTTTTGTCTCAAGTTTTCTTATTAACAATTGCTTGTAGGAGAACAAGCCACTGGAATTTACTGAAAATGCTTTACTCGATTTATTAGTTGGTGAGAGGTGGGTTTGCATTGCCTCAAGTTTTCTTTGATGACTATGGCCTCAATGATTTCCATTCTCTACCTTTCTTCACCTAATATTTCTCAAATTGGCAGGTGCTGGAAATTGGAATCGGCACAAGCAACTGGAATATACCAAAAATGCTCTCATGTGGTTTATTAGACAGATGAGAGGTAATTTGCAATTATTCTTATTATTGTTTTTTATGTGTATAGCTTTATTTATTTATTATTATTATTATTTGTGTATAGATTTGTTGCTTGAACAGCTCCTCATAGAGTGCTTTGATTGTCTTAGTGGGAATTGAAACAAGGGCACATCAATGTGCTAGATGATTTGCTTACTATTGTATTAGTTGCAAGTTATAGCACTTGTTTTGGACTACTAAACAGTTAGTTAATTTATCACTGCTGATTACTTTTTATTCTTCTCCTGGAGGGTGAGGTAGAAGAAAGATTGATTATGTATCTTGAGCAATTTGAGAAACCAGTGGGCATATTAATGCATAGAATTTAACTTCTCAAAGAAAATAAAAAGGAGGCTAGAATGCTAAAGTGGTCATCCAACCATGGTCTATATATATACACACACACACACACATCTTCTCAATTAGGTTGTAGTCAGTTGTATAGAATGACTTAAAAAAAATAATTTAATTTTTCGTGCTGTAATGTGAAGCATAACGGAGCAGTAGAGTAAGGAGGATGCTTAGGCTTGTGATCCAATATCAGGGTTGGAACTAAATTGAAGTTGAAGGTGGAACCATGTCGTCCCTGCAGGTGGGTGTCATTAGCTAATTACAACTCTTTGGCACATGCAGAATATCCAACATAAATTAACAGGTCAGGATTTTCTAAGCAGCACGGTCATGTGGCCTGCCATTCATATCAGGATTGATGTTCTATGCCACGGCAATAACCAACCAATTTGTGAGTGGCACTGATACTGAGACACCATGCCTTGTTTAATTTATATCTGTTGTCAAGATTTCAGGAAAAACTTATTTAATCTCTACTCCCTGTCAGGATTTCTGGAGGAAGCAGCAGTTTGCTAATGAAAGATGAAGATTGCTATCGAGGGAACCAAATCAAAGGTGTCTGAATCATTTTTTTCAAATTGCTCCATGTAATGGCAGCATTGGGAGGAGATTGTCATAAAATGTTTGTTGACAGGCAAAATATAAACATTGCTATCGGCGTGGCAGACAGAATCTAGAAATATTAAAAGGGAGAGAGTTGCTGTAATTGACTTTGTTAATTACGAGAATAGTAGCCACGCATTAGTAAATCTATGTAACATGTTTTAACATCTTAAATAATTTAACAAATTTAGGTGTAAAATAAAAATAAACTAATATTAATTGTAGGAATTTTTTTTTAATTTAATACGTATTTACTAAAATGTTTATATTTCATAATTGAGTTTAAATATATTCTATGAATGTGTTTGATTTTGATTAAAAAAACATGCAATTAATTATTTTTTAAAGGAATAATTACTAGAAAAACCTTTTAAGAAATCTTCTATTTAAAAAACCCACTAGTTTATTTTTAAATCTCTCAAATTCAAAACAAAAAATATATATATATATAATCAAAACATTCAATTATTAACCTCCAACTTAACAGTCATTAATTATTGAGTGTTTAAGTAAGATAATATACATGTATATATTTGAGAGATTTAAAAGTAAATTGATGAGTTTTTTAGATGGAAGATTTTTTAGAGGTTATTTTTTTAGTAATTTTCTAATTATAAACTTATTTCATAGTTTTTAATGGGTTTGATATTGATTTTTTTAAAAAAAACCATGTTCATGTTCTTTTTTATTACAATCCAAAGCATATATATATTTTGAGGTGTTTTAACTGCTAACACACTGACCTTCATATGCTATTTTTTTATTATACTAAAAAAATTCATATGTAGGAGTTTTTATTTCTTTTTATCGGTGGTTTGTTTCATCAACTATGATATTACTTTTACTATCTAATAACTATAAAAATTAAAGCAATTTAACTAATTAATATTGATGAAGTAAGACTCATGTTATCCTCTTGTAATTTAATTTAAGAGTTATCATACAAATAAGAAAAGTAAAGATATGTATGAATATGAACATTAATGATTTTCTAAATCCTAATGTATTGATTAAAAAAAACATGGTAGTAGCACTAGTTTTTAATTAATTAAAACTCAATATTTTTATCAAGCAATTAAATTAAATTATAGGATGAATGCATAACATATTTTGGTGCATTAATTAAATTGAACATAATCATCCACAATAGAAGTACATATCTTAGAAGATAATAGTTACATTTAAGTTAGGTATAATTATAAGAAAAACCTTCCAAAACAATCTTCTATATAAAAAACCCATCAATTTATTTTTAAATCTCTCAAACCCAAAACAATATTTTTCTTACTAAAATTCCCAATAGTTAATACACAATAGAAATACTTATCTTAGAAAATAATGGTTACATATAAGTTAGGAATAATTACCGGAAAACCCACTAAAAAAATCTTCTATCTAAAAAACTCAGCTAGTTTATTTTTAAATCTTCCAAACTCAAAACAATATTTTTTCTTACCAAAATACCCAATAGTTAATACTAGGTGTTTTGATTAAAAAAATATTATTTTGGGTTTGAAAAATTTAACGATAAATTAATGAGTTTTTTAGATAGAAGATTTTTTTTTTTGAAATTTTTTTATGATAATTATCCCTTTTTTATTTTAAAAAATAAATGTGGGTGCTAAATCAATTTATATTATAAGGATATTTAATTTTAGTTACTGAGTTTATAAAAAAATTAAAAAAAATAACCATTAAGTATTAAGAAAAAAATATTTTTAGCATAATAAATAATGAAAAATATAAACGCATAAAAAAGGGGGAAAAGAGGTTGAGTTGAGGTAGGCATCAGACCCTTTTGGATGGGTTTAGAGACAACCAGACTTGGGTAGAAAGCATCGTCCAACCATTTAAAAAAATTGGAATTTTTTTTTTAAAAAAAGGCAAATTAAATTTAGGGGTGGTTGTGTATAAAATTATAACTCAAATGACTAAAGTGTAAAAAAATAATCCAAACATCACTTATTGTTTTGGTAAAACGATGTCATTTCAATCTAAAATGACATAACCGATGTTGTGTGGTACAATGTAGCATGAACTTAATTACATTGAAACTATATTCTTTTTTAGTATATCTATAATTAACTATATTGTGGCTGAGCATTTGTATATTTGGTTTCAATTTCAAATTCGATAAATTTGATTTGGTCTTTGGTTAATTAATCTATAGAAATCAAATCTAAATCGAACATGAAATATTATTTAGTTTTTAGTTTTTAATTTTAACTAAAAAAACCTTTTTTTTAATATAAAAAATGACATGATTCTTGGTTTCTTGGATACGAATTTTGTCATGAGTTAAGTCTTCCACTTTCAATATGTTAAGAATCTCATTTTTAATCTTTTTTTTTTCATCAATTTAATTTTAGAAAAAGATAAGAAATACTATTCAAAGTTTAAATCAATTATGAAATAGCTATCCCACGTTGAAAAAGAAGAAAAGAAAAGAAGTTTGAGATATTTATATACAAGATGGATCCATGATCTATTAGTTTAGGCTTTCAAGTTAAAGTGATATTCATATCTGTATGTAAACACTTTGTGTACCAGTCCATGTGTCGGTACAAATCTTTCTAAATTCTCTTCATGAGCATCAAACATCCAAGTCAACAAATAAATATAAAATATCTAGACCCACACTGTTGTTGTTGTTGTTATTATTATTATTATTATTATTATTGTTATCTATTTATCAAAAAAAAAAAAAAAACTCTCACACACAAACACACATATATATACATGATTTTTGTTGGTGGTAGAAACTGAATTGACAATTTACAAATCCTAACCAAGTTTGAAAAAGCAAATTAAATTTGGGTTGGTTTCGAAAAAGAGAACTAAATAAAAACAACAAAAACTAAAGCAAATTTTTTATTTCGATTTAGTTTAAATAGAATAGCGTTAACTCTTTAACCGTATTTATATGGCATATTGGAAAGTTACATCGCTCTTTATTGATATCATTAATCTAAAAAGGGAAGAAGCTATGTAGCACGTTTTCATGCTCGTTAAAGTTCCATTGTGGAAGAACCACACCAAGTAATTTTTATATATTATGAAATAATGAATGTCCATCACCATGTTCATTCACTTTTCATATCCATACTACCGATGATTCTTAATATGATTCAATTCATCATTCAATATGAGAAATTAAAAGGGTGATGCAATTGATTATTCGTAGTCCCTTCCAATTCTCTCATTAATTTTGAAGTCTATAAATAGGCTTGATTGTTCATTAGTTGGTGCACAAGTTTCTTAAAGAGAATAAGAGAAACTTTGAAGTTCTTATCACTTATATTCACATTATAGCGGTTTTATTTTTTTGTCATCATTTTCTTCAATTCTCTTATTGTT